CACAAGACCCAGTGACCAGGTTCACCCAGGAGTTTTATTGGAACCGTTGGGCAAGACTCAGGCTTCCCACAGAAATCACAGGTGCCAGGTTGTGTGCCTGGGTTTCCTGGTGCCACCTCAGTCACCACAATGGGAACCGCACCTGAGAATAAGGTCAGTTCGGGTAGCAGGGAAATAGAAGCATCAAAATATCATAATGTGGATCATGACGCCTGAATCCTGTTTCTAAAGGCCCAGGCATCTCTGAACTGGCTCGTAAAAGTTTAACTTCTGGGCCGGGTGCGGTGGCTCACGCCTGTAATCCGAGCACTTTTGAGAGGCCAAGGCAGATGGATCACGAGGTCAAGAGTTTGAGACCAGCGTGGCCAACATGGTGAAATCCCATTTCTACTGAGAATACAAAAATCATCTGAGTGTGGTGGTACGTGCTTGTACTCCCAGCTACTCGGGAGACTGAGGCAGGAAAATCACTTGAGCTCAGGAGGTGGAGGTTGCAGTGAGCCGAGATCACGCCATTGCCCTCCAGCCCGGGCGACAGAGCAAGACTCTATCTCAGGGGAGCAGGGGGGACGCGTATACCTTCCACCGGCACCTCAATTTTAGACTCTCAAACAGACGATGACGGGAAAATGATCTGATGAAGAAGCATGCTGAACAGTCCAGAACATGTGTCTAAAAACCAGAATGGACTGGGTGCGGTGGCTCACGCCTGCAATCCCAGCACTCTGCGAGGCTGAGGTGGCTGGGTTACCTGAGCTCATGAGTTCAAGACCAGCCTGGCCAACATGGAGGAACCCAGTTTCCACTAAAAATGCAAAAATTAGCCGGGCGTGGTGGTGGGCGCCTGTCATCCCAACTACTCGGGAGGCTGAGGCAGGAGAATTGCTTGAACCCGGGAGACAGGGGTTGCAGTGAGCCGAGATCACCTCACTGCACTCCAGCCTGGGCGACAGAGCAAGACTCCATCTCAAAAAAATAAAAAAGGACGGGGTGCTGTAGCTCACTCACGCCTGTAATCCCAACACTTTGGGAGGCTGAGATGGGTGGATCACCTGAGGTCTGGAGTTCGAGACCAGCCCAGCCAACATGGTGAAACCCCATCTCTATTAAAAATACAAAAAATTGGCTGGGCGTGGTACGGGCGCCTGTAATCCCAGCTACTCAGAAGGCTGAGGCAGGAGAAGCGCTCAAACCTGGGAAGTGGAGGTTGCAGTGAGCCAAGATCGCACCACTGCACTCCAGTCTGGGCAGGAGAATCAAAACAAAAAAAAAAAAAAGCAAAGCAACAGAATGACAATTATTAGTAATCATTATTAAAAGGTTAAAGATTGCAGAAGATGGGGGGAAAAGTGAGAAAATGGAGAATTTCCACAGAAAAATTAAAAACACCCAAGAGCAAATATTAAAAATAAAATATACAATATGGCAATTAAAACTTTTTTGACACGGACTAAGTAGCAATCTGGTATATCAGAAAAGAGGGCTGGTAACGCCAAAGACATGTTGATAGAAATTATTCAAACAGGCCGGGCGCGGCGGCTCACACCTGTAATCCCAGCACTTTGGGAGGTCAAGGGGGTGGATCATGATGTCAGGAGTTCGAGACCATCCTGGCCAACATAGTGAAACCCCATTGCTACTAAAAATACAACAAAAATTAGCCCGGCATCGGGGCAGGCGCCTATAATCCCAGCTACTGGGGAGTCTGAGGCAGGAGAATCTCTTGAGCCCAGCAGGCGGAGGTTGCAGTAAGCTGAGATCCCACCACTGAACTCCAGCCTGGGCGACAAAGCGAGACTCCATCTCAAAAACAACAACAAAAAAAGAAATTATTCAAACAGTAGCACAGAGACAGAAAATAAGAGAACAAAGAGAGACCCGTGTGACAACACCCAGGACCGTCACACGTGACTGCAGCCATGGCCATGATACAGGTGAACACAGAGACCCATGGGACACCATGGCCGTGATACAGGTGGATGGAGAGACCTGTGGGACACCATGGCCGTGATACAGGTGAACGCAGAGAC